AGGAATGAGGCTGGCAGTACTGCAGAGCTTTGGGAGGTAACTCTAAGGATCGTCTCTGGAACCCACGTGATGCTGCCTTACTGATTAACAGTTGGCTCTCTGGAAGACAGGCTGCAAAGCAGAATGGCCTGAGGAGGAGCTTTTTATACTGATGCAGCAAGATGATTAGTAGCAGCTGGAAAACCAGTATTGCTCGGCTCATAGTCAAAGTAGGAATGAAGCTAAAAATGATTACTGAGTTAGAATATAAAGCCTGGGAAAAAATGTCAGGAAATTATCTATATAGAAATTCCAAAGATATTTATGTGCGTTTTTACAGTCTTTGTTCAGACATCTTTAAAGACATATTTTAGGGACAAGGATGTTTTGGTTGAAAATCATTTGCCTGTTTCTTCCTGTTTGGAAATGTTTCTTTTGTATCTTGCAACAAAGGCTTCTGCTCTGGAACAAACACCAGTAAGCCTCATTTTGGCGAGACTAGACAAACGATCACAGAATGAGATAAACTAAACAGCATCTTAGGGGAGAAAAACCACACTCTTTTGATGTAAGAATTCTTTCATATACAGTACACCAATAAATAAATGGGAAATAATTTTAACTTATCTGGGCTTTCAGAAAGTTTGATTAATCTCCTTTTCATGAGGCCTGCTGAGGACAGTTAAGCATGCGAAAGACGCTAAGGTAATCTCTTTCCTGGATGAGAAGAAACAGCAAAAATAATTAGCTGTTTTACATTGGAAGGAGTGGATACTCAATGATTTTTAGTAGACTTTGCCTCCTGCAGTGTACTTCGCATATTGTGGTTTTTGTGAACTTGTAGATACAGAAAGTACACGGGTATAGGAATTTAGATAGCCAAGGCCAGTGATCTTTAGCATTTATTAATGAGCCGTGTATGTTAATACAAACTCTCCGATTAAAATTAACAGAGAAAGTCAGACAATTGGAGAAATAAAGCGTGGGGACAGTGATTCTCGCGAGATGGGTCAAATTAGTTTGTCTTTGGATTCTCAGAAATCTCATCAATGCAAATAAAATGCAAATAAAAACCATGCAAGCACAGTTGCTGTTAATGAAATCCAGTCATTTGTTTACTAGGCAAATAAAACCCAAATTAGTTTGTTAAGAACATAGATGTGCTTTGCAGGTAGCTTTTTATTAAATACATTGAACTTGGTGTAAAGTTACTTACGTCTTACGGTACATACACTGTTCTTTAAAACTGGAGTAGTTTCACCTTTTTCACTACCTACCTAAGTCCTTTTCTCCTTTATGCAGGACACAAAAGGATGAAAGTGAGTTCATCTTGGTGTCACTCCTGTCCTTCTCAACTGTGTAATGAGACAGAGTGTTTTGCAATTAGACACTTCCTTGGTCATAGGTTTTTCCTGTTGTTTGCTTCTTTCATCTTCACTCACCTGGTTTGCTGCTTTCACCCTCTGTCTGGGATGGAAAAGCAATGTCCAGTCTTCACTTCAGCAAACAGATGTTGGGCCCTTGGCCCTGTACAACTGTCTTGCTCATGTTGAAATGCGCTTCCATTTCATCACAGCTGGTGCGGGATCTCAGTATGATGTACTGGCCTGGAGTCAGCAGATGAAACAGTTCCTTAAAAGAACTTAGGAAGAGTTCTGATGTTGCAGGGTCCTGCTGTCTTCTCTTGGGAAATGGCTGCTTTTGCACATTTTCTGCCTGCATTTCTCCAAGGTTTGAATGTTCCTCAGGGTTTGAAATGATCAAGTTTCTATTCTTAACGGCATTGATCAGAGGTCCTGTTAGGATTTCTGCCTCTCAGATCTAAACCTGCCATATGCTACTGCAAGGTTCTCACACGACATCACAGCATAGCCATATCATACAACTAAAAATGTTGAGATTTCCTTTAACTTTCTACCAAACAATTTCCCATGAGATAAATGGGAACTAAAACCTCATATTGTCAGTGTACCCAACTGGCCCCTTTGTCACTACTGACAGTGGTAACCCCTGAGACCTTTAGATAAACTCTGCTAAGGAAGAAAGATTCCAAACTGTATTTGACAAGATAATACATTTTTTTTTAGCTTGGCATGCACTTCATGTAAATGATAGAGGAGAAGCATTTCATAATCCCAGAGAAGAAGGGATGGTGATCTGTTCTATACTTCAGAAAGCCATACGGCTTTGCCAGCAAGTTCAAGGTCATGATGGTGACTAGCTATAAACATCTCTGCATTCCAAGGGCATGTCTTTGTGGTTCTTGACCTAGAGAATTAATCTTTCCAACTACAATGTATGTGCTGTGTACAAAATAGCTTCACTTAAAGGTGTTCCTGGACTGTTGTCAATGAAAGGTTCTCCTGCCTGGATTTGCCACAAGAACAATAAATGTCCCTAAACCAACAGTTGTAACTGCCCATTTCAGAAGGATTGGAATGTCACTCTCCCTTGCTGGACTTCTGCCTGATGCAGTGGCCATACGGACGTTGGGCATCTTTAGACTTTCACCTCCCAGGTTCTGTTAAGCTCTCGTTCAGTCTTTAAAAAGCCGTTCTGTGGCAGGACGTGGTCCAAGTCTTAAGAGACATGATTGCATTTGAATGTATGACTACTACCGCAGCGATGCCGTACCTGTGTTTGTCACGGAACAGCATGTAGCTTCACGGTAGACTTCACGAGACTTAAAAATCTCACTCCTCTCTGGGATGGATGTTCCCTTAGCTGCTTGGTGTTCCTTTCCTGAATGGTCAGGTGGTCCTTCAGTGGTGAGAAGACCTACCTGTTCCGTTCTTCATTTTGCTCTATCATAACAGGCGATCCTTTATACACAGAGCGCACTTGTGAAAAACGTGGATATCTTGGGGCAAACGGACCAGCCATTTCACATCAGTGTTCTTGAGCTCAGAGCTGTGTAGAACACATGCAGAGGTCTCTGGTCTTCTCTTCAAAAATATTGTGCCTAGGTCTCAGCAGACAATCTAATCACAGTGTGTAGTGTTGACCAGCGATATGTCATGAAGTCTTTTTTCCCCCTGCTGGAAGCAAACGATCCAGTCATTCAATGTACTAACAGATGGTTTCAAATGAATTCGGATTTGATGAACCCAGACTGGGAGATCAGGATCTGAAGTCCATCTGCCTCTTGTGAGGTACCAGCTGTTCTGTTCTCAAGTCAGGTAGTCTTGTGAATTAGACGCAGTCTTGGTTCTGTTACCAGGTAAAACGATGTGTGCAGTGTCTCAGATCCGGAAGGTTCTGCTTAAGGTAGCACATGAGGAGATTTTCATAATCCTAACTGTTTGAGCAAAGTGGGACAAATGAAGTTCCAGAACCATCTTAATCTGTCAGTAAGGAGTCTAAAATCTTTCCTCCTTTCCTAGTCTATTAATTCAGAATTTTAGAGACTCTGTACAGCCTTGGTCTTGCTCAGTTTCTGTGTGGATAGTTGGGGGTCCTTATTACAGTTGCATGAATACATTTACAAAATAACCTGATGTTTTTCTGGGGCTGTTCATTTCTCACTAGTCTCTATCCTGTTATCCTGAAGCTCTCGAAGCTGAGATTTTTGTGTTAGGTAGTTGAGTCTAGATCAGTTTACCTTTTCCTTCTCTGGTGGCTGCTGCTTCACAGTTCTCATTCCCATTATTTGTAGCCTTTGCAAAATGTTGCTGAAATGATAGACAACACAAAATCATGAGTAAGTAGGGTTATTGGTTGGAATTGTGTCTGTGGTTGAAACTGTGCTGATCGTGTTCTGCCTTAAAACTTTGTGTAAGGAATGGTAGGATACAATTATGCCAACCACTAGGTGTGTTTGATATATTTTTTAAAAAAAAAAAAAGTGTATGATAGTGGAAGAGTGTGTGTGTGTGTGTGACTCCTGAGTGCATACCATGAGGAACTCAGCTATTGGTTCTTTCTTCTGTATGAAGTACAGAAGAGTGTACTGATACAGAACAACATACAAAAATAGTGATCATTTATATTAACAAAGGTAACTGCAGTTGTATTAGCTAGGAGGAAAATAGCCTATATGAAATACTGCGTTTAACCAAATCAGATAACTCAGAAGATGCAGGATGTCTGGAGAGAAGGATTCTTTCAAAATTTGGAAGCTTTGTGATTAACACTTTGTGTAATGAGTTAGGTAAGTGTTCTCTAGTCCTAGCCAATACTGTACATGAAATCAGTGTTCCTGTGTGCTGTATTCTATTTTCCAGTTGAATTGAAACAATGTATCACTCAGTGTGAAGTTGAAATCCAACATTTAGATATGTGGTTGCATATGTCAATTTAAATAGGTGCCTGGAATACTTGCTAAGAAATGATGCCAATCCGGGGATCCGAGACAAACAAGGATACAATGCCGTTCATTATTCAGCTGCTTATGGTCATCGCTTATGTCTTGAATTGGTAAGAAAACATCATAGATGAAAGCTGTAACGGCTGCTCTTGCAGAGTATGGTGCAGAGCCTAGGGGAGGGGATTCCTACACCTCGGTTCTTCATCTGTAAGCAAGGTAGATGCTGGTTTTCATCCCCTGTGAGGATAAACAGTTAAGCTCTTGGGGCTCAAAATATGCGCAGGGTGAAGAGCTGAGATGGTAGATACTGGCTTAAAAAGACAATGCATTCTGAGATGAAGAGAGAGCTGGCTGAGCATGTGGGATATTAGTTTTGGTTTGTTTCTGAACTTAAAATGCACTGCTTATTTTTTTCCTGATGGCTGAAATAAAATAACCACAGGCTATCCCACTGGGAAGTGTTAAGAAATTTCACAAATGTCTTTGAAGGAGCTTTTGTGGGGAAAACCGGTAAAGGGTGCCTTTTAAAATAGTTCACATAGTTACCGTAACTGATGGCCCCATGATAGAATTTTAGATGATAAAGCCACAAGTAGTTTTTTTATTAATCCTTTGAAAAAAAAGTGTATGTTATTTGATATGCTTATTTTATCTTATCTGTGTTATACAACTTAGTATTTTTGTACAAATTATACTTTTATATTCCAATGTATTCAAACATGAATTCTGAATGTTTTTAATTGCAGATCGCAAGCGAAACACCTCTAGATGTAGTAAGTAATATTTCTGACTGTTTAAGTACTACTGTACAGCAAAAGGGAACATCTAATCTTAAAATTACTGCTTATTTTTAGATTCAATCAACAATTCATAGATATAATAGAATCTTTTAGGTTGGAAAAGGCCTTTAAGATGGTCTACTGGAAGGTGTCCCTGACCATGGCAGGGGGGCTGGAACGGGATGGTCTTTCAGGTCCCTTCCAACCCAAGCCATCCTGTGATTCTATGATTGCAATACTATGTGCCTTGGCAACACATTCCATTCTTTGCATACATCTAAGAAGAGGTGCATGAGGCCGTTCTTCACATACCTAGTGACACATTTGTTAGGGTCTCAGACATCCCATCCCGAAGTGCCCAGCACTGATATTTTCCATGGAGAAGACCAGACAAAGTGAACCTCTGGGGTCACATCACACGTATCAAGTGAAATTTCATAGGGTTTTTTGTTGCTTAACTGTAATTTGCAAGCCAGCTTCTGACCTCAGCTTACT